TCCTGTAATCATTCCAGGAGGCCAGGAGGATACGTATTAGTATCCCCAGCTTCCTAAAGAGGGGTCTGGGACACCAGGGGGTTGCCCCGCGTGATGGCCATCAGCGAGTATGGATTCCACTTTTGTTGGAGTCCAGGGTTCCAGACCTAACCATCGATCTGCTTCTTTCCCCTTCTCCTTGCTTCATTAAATCAATTTAATGATTTTCGTTATTTGTTATTGAAACAAATCAGAGAGAGGTGATGAATGAGCAGCTCTCACAGGTGTCCAGGAGAGATACAGCGCCCAGCAGCGGGCTGTTCCCGTCGGGATTGGCATGGCAACGCCCTCTTAGAGACGGGGGTAGACAACTGCGCCACCGTGTGGTGGTGAGGGGTATGGAAGCGAATTTTACACTCGAAGTGCCGAGAGTACCCTTAGTGGCCACTGGGTGGAGCTCTTTCTATCTGTTGTGGAAACCGATCCAGACAAGCGTCATTAACCCTAGGTCTCCATCCTAACTCCCTTCTTGTCTCCCTTGCCTCCTCCTTTCTCCCTTCTTCTTTCTCCCTCCCTTCTGTCTTCTAGAGGGAAAGACCATAGTGGACCTCCCAGTCCTCCCAGTCAAGAAGCCTCTGCAGCTTTCTAGGGTGTGATGAAAGCTGTTTCTGACACTGACGAGCCCCGGAAAGAAGCAAGTGAATGCGTTGACTATGTAGCTGGTGCTAAGCTGCACGCTGGGAGCTTCTGGATGACTTGCGTCACGGAACCCTACAAACCTCTAGGAAAAGGAGTTTCGATTGCTGTGCCTATTTAAGCAATGAGGAAACTGAGGCTTAAACAGGCACCTTGCCAAAGTCGCACACTTTTTTTTTTTTTTTTAAGATTTATTTATTTTAGAGAGAGCATGAACAAGAGAGGTAGAGGGAGAGAGAGAGTCTCAGGCAAACTCTGCGCTGAGCAGGGAGCCCCCCGACACAGGGCTAGATCTTATGACCCTGAGATCATGACCTGAGCTGGACCCAGCAATTGGACACTCAGCCAACGATGCCACCCAGACACCCCCAAAGTCTGTCTCAATGAACAGAGCCAGGATAAATCATGATCTAGTGTAAAAGTCTAGTGTGCAGCTGTACCGCTGATGCTAGACTTTTCAGTGTGGTAGACAAAATGGCCCTTTTTGGGTGATATTTGTCAACCACTGGCCAAGAACTCAACCGTGGTAAAATCTTGGTAATTCCCTCTGACTTTCAAAGTCTTTTGCTACCAGCCCTTTTTTTATTTAGTCAATTTCATTTCCCATGACTCCCTTCCTACACTCTGTCCTCTTTGCAGGCCGGTACTCCTGTCACCGCTGTCTATCACATTAATTTCCATGTGCATGCTTTCTAGTCTCTACTCCATGAGTGACATCCATCCTTCAATGCTCAGCGTAAGCACCTCTCTATGCATTCCTCATCTCTTCTGGTCCTAGGTGACAGAGATATTTCATTACCTCACAGCCCTGTGCAAAAGTTTTCAGTGATGACCTTTTATCTGCTAAACAAAAGCCAGGAGTCTTAGCTTGGTATTTGAGTTTACCATTCTGTCACAAACATGTACCAAGAGCAAGTGATGTGCTAGGCAGTCTCTGGGTGCTGGGAGAATTGTAGAGAACCAGACAGACAGGTTTCTACCCTTATGGTGAACAAACTGGGCATTAAATAATTACAAATAATCAACTCAACAATTATTAGTATGATTCAAGCAATTACGAGGCCCTCTAGAATCTGGTCTCAACCTCTGTTCAGTTCCTCCTCCTTCTTTCTTCCATTCAGATGAGCCTACTCATTCCGACCCACCTCTAAGGCTGTGCTCACGCTCTCCCTTTTTCCCTTCAGGCAGATTCTTCCCTCCTCCACCCCCTAAGCCCTTAAGGACCAGCTTCGGTTCTGCCTCTTCCATGAAACCCTGTTAGACAACTTTAGGCCCAAAGGATCTTCCCTCATTTGAATCCCTACTGCTTATCCATCAGACAAACATTTACTGAATGACTTCTTGAAATGTTTGATGACTTGACTCTCCAGGAAGTCCTAAACACATGCTATGGTCTTAAAGATTTACGTTGTATGAGGAGTTAGACTTTCCCTACTGAGAGGGATTGAGGATTTTTTCCCTCTTCTTCTCTGGGTGGGAAAGGAGTGAAGATCAGAAAAGCTACAGTGAGGGGCGCCTGGGTGGTTCAATCAGTTAAGCATCTGCTGTCAGCTCAGGTCATGATTCCAGGATACTAGGATTGAGTCCCACTCTGGCTCCCTGCTCAGCAGAGAGCCTGCTTCTCCTCTCCCTCTGCCTGCCTCTCTCCCGACTTGTGCTCTTTCCCATTCTCTGTCAAATAAATAAATAAAATCTTAAAAAAAAAAAAAAAAAAGAAAAGCTACAGTGAACCATAGGAAATTACTAATAAGCAAAGTGACAATAAAAATGGCCTAATTACTCATAATCCTACTACTTGAAAGAGATCTACCACTGACAACTTTCTACCTTCCTACTTTTTTGTTTCTGTTTCTATTTCTGTGTGTGTGTGTTTAGGTGAAGTTCCTTTTTCCTCCTAATTAAAATTTTATCAAGAAAATCTTTTTTCACGGGGTGCCTGGATGGCTCAGTAGGTGAAGCGTCTGCCTTTGCCTCAGATCATGATTTCAGGGGCCTGGGAGTGAGCCCTGTGTTGAGCTCCCTGCTCAGTGGGGGGAGGGTCTGCTTCTCCCTCTCCTCCCTCTGCCCCTCCTGCTGGTCATGCTCTCTCTCTCTCTCTCTCTAAAACAAACAAACAAACAAACAAACAACAAAAAACCCCCCAAAAACCCAAAACCTTGAAAAGAAAATCTTATTTTTTTTTATGGTCTCTTTTAAAATGGAGTAACTCTACCCCCACTTACCTGCTTAGGGGTGGAATAGTTTGTTCTGGATTGAATGAAACCAAGAGAATTTACTTAAAGACTCATCCATATCTTTTCCAGCTCACTGATCCTGTGTACAATAAGAATCTGACCATTAGTTTTAGGGCATTTACTCAGAAGTCCTTTCTCAAAACCGACATTGGATGTTCTCCAGCGCAGTACTCTTACCTACTCCAAAGGTGTGGGACGCCTAGGGATGCCAGACTTTTATGCAAACCATGCAATGTGTGGCCTACAAGAACAGGGATCTTCCAGTCTGCACCCCTCACATAAAGGGGGAGCAGAATGAACTACAGGGCTAAGTCCTTGCCCAAGATCAGGCAGCTGGTGGGGGCAGGGCCGAAGATGCCAGCACCGATTATTTTTACAAATTGACGTCCCCAGTTTGTCTAATGATCAACCTCAAACTAAAATTAAACAGAAAATACTTGGGGAAGCCCTAACTCTTGCTAAACAAATCGTGTTTGTTCATACCAGTGAAGGGGAAAAGGCAACACAGTTTGGTAGAGACTGGGTTAGATCCTCCAGCCCTGACCTGTTTTGAATAGGTCAGAAAACTTTCTCCTTGGCAATCTACATTACTATGATAGGATTAAAACAAAGAAGAAATATTAGGGTCCACTTATCTCATTCTTTTTAAAAAAATATTTCATTTATACTTAGAGAGCAGAGGGAAAGGGAGCAGCAGACGGCCGCTGAGCAGGGAGCCCAAAGTGGGGCTCCATTCCAGGACCGAGGGATCAGGACCTGAGTCTGAATCAGACACTTGGCCGACTGAGCCGCCCAGGCGCCCCGTCATTCGTTCTTAATGTTTGAGAAACGAGGATAACAAAAGGATGCAGAAAAGATTGGCCCTTCATCATGAACTGTAGCATTGGCTTGTAAGTATATGGCATCTTGGTTCTTATCTGATTTCTGGAGGTCACCACGGTCCGAGCAGCAATTCATTCAAGCAAAAGAAACTCACAATTGTAGGAAAACTGGGTCTGTTCTGGGAGACCAAGCCCTCTTCACGGACAGCTTTCAAGCTGAACTTTCCGGCCTCAGTCTGAAGCCCCAGTAACGCGGTCTCTGGTTCTCTCCGAGTTCTGGGAAGGGACGGTATTGGATCTCCTTTCACAGGAAGCCAGCAACGAGGGAACTGTGTGAAAGGGCGAGAGCGCTTCTGAAGAACATCCCCACGGGCCCAAGGAGGGCCTTACGGAGATGAAAAGTTTCCTGGGTGGGAGTGGGGCCGGGAGTGGAAGCGGATCCACCTGGTTGTACGGGGGCAGAGGGCCACCCAAGAGCGGGGAGAAGCCAACTGTAAGAAGGAGCTGCAGAAGAGAGGGCGCTGGCGGGGGAGGTACGAGCCAGCTCCCTTCTCGGCTCACTCTCAAAGGCTCACCTCGGGATCAAGAGCACAGGTGCTGCCCAACGGGGCCCCTGCGCTACCACAGCAAACAAAGGGCGCGGCCTCCTCCAGCCTTTTCGGTCCGAAAGGAGGCTCGGCCTTACCTTCGAGGATCCACCCATCCCTTCTCGGGCGCGCATCCAATGGGGCCGCAGCCTCCTCCTGCCAGGAGGTGCTGAACTCTCGCAGGAAATGGACAGGTACCACCGACCAATGGTTGGAGCTGCCGCGGGCCAATGGGAGAGGGAAATGGGTCGACCTGGGGTTGAGAGGGAGAGCCCGCAAGAGGGGGCGGGGCCCGGGGGCAAGACACGTAGGCGCAGAGGGTGGAGAGGGGCGGGTCGGTGGCTGGCGGGGCAGCCCCCGCCGCGGAGATAGGAACCTGCGGACGGCCGGCAGCGGCCAATGGGAGGGCGGGTTGGCGTGGGGGGGGGTGGGCCCGGCGCCGGGCGGCCCCGCCCCTTCGGGTCCGCAGGGCTGGGGCGGAGCCAGGCCCGCGTCAGGTGGTCCCGGGCGTGCGGGCGGCGCTGGGGGCGGGGCGCGGCGCGGAGAGGGGAGCGGCGGCCGGCGGGCGGCGGCGGGCTAGGGCTGCGCGAGCAGGTACCCGCGGCGGAGGTGGCCAGGCCACCCCCGGGGGACGAGCACGAAGGCGGGGGCCCCGGCCCGCCGCGCCCCCATGCCGCGGTGAGCGCTCCCGCTCGGCGTACTTGTCGCCGCGCCAGCCCCAGCGAGCCGGCTCTCCCCGCCCCGCCAGCCCGGGCCCTACCTGCGGCCGCCGTCGGGGGAGGGGGGTCCCCCCAGCTCTGCGGAGCCGCATGAACAATAGGCGGCGGCGGCTCCTGCGGGCGGCGGCAGCCCCGCACCCTATGGATCGGCCGCTCCATGGAGCCCTCCAGAGCGCTTCTCGGCTGCCTGGCGAGCGCCGCCGCTGCCGCCCCGCCGGGGGAGGATGGAGCGGGGGCCGGGGCCGAGGAGGAGGAGGAAGAGGAGGAGGAGGCGGCGGCGGCGGCCCCGGGGGAGCTGGGTTCCGATGCACCGCTGCCCTACTGGACGGCGGTGTTCGAGTACGAGGCGGCCGGCGAGGACGAGCTGACCCTGCGGCTGGGCGACGTGGTGGAGGTGCTGTCCAAGGACTCGCAGGTGTCCGGCGACGAGGGCTGGTGGACCGGGCAGCTGAACCAGCGGGTGGGCATCTTCCCCAGCAACTACGTGACCCCGCGCAGCGCCTTCTCCAGTCGTTGCCAGCACGGCGGCGAGGACCCCAGTTGCTACCCGCCCATTCAGTGTAAGGCGAAGGCGGGGCCGCCGAGCCGGGCGGGGAAGGGGGGGCTGGAGCCTGGAGGGGGGGGGGTCGCAGAGCGGGTGGGGAACGATTGCCCTGGGGGTGGGTGTGTGCGCGCGCGCTCGGGCTGCAGGGGCTGCTTTGGTGGGTGCGATGGGTGAGATAGAGACGCCGCAGGCCTTGCCAGGAACCTCAGGCGCTTGGGCTTCTTAACCTTCATCTGACCACCTCAGCTGCTTTCCACATCCTGGAGCCCCAGCACGAGAATCTCCCCATGTCGCACTCCCGGCTTCCCCAAATCTGGAAGGGTTTCAGGCCAGCTGGTAGTTTCTGTCATAACCTTAGTCCCCAAATCAGGGACCTTCCCGACCTCTTCTACGGCCTGTCCCCGCCCCTTCAAGGCATTTGCTTTGAAGCGGATGGGGGTGTCTCCCGCAGGGCTGGCTGGGCTGGCTTTCAAGTCCCGGAAGCCCGTGCGAACTCAAGGCTGAAGTGTCTTTGAAATGTCGTGTTGATTTCTCGGATCGCAGTCTTGTATCTGAGAAGTTGTACCTTTAGGAGTCTCAGTGAATGATGTGCTGAGCAGGGTGCGAGTGTGTGAAGAAGCCGGCGGTGATGGGTGGAGAAATGATTGGAGAGGGAGAAGTATGTCCTTCCCCCGTGAGAGATCAGGAGCGCAAAGTACAGTGGCTAAATCCCAAGTCCCTTGACACCCAAGCTTTCAGTTACAACATTTTCTCCTTTCTTCTCACCCTAGATCCTTGCCTATATTTGGTATTTGCCAAATCTCAAGGGGACCATGCCCACGGGTCCCTCCCAGGGCCTTTCTTCCAGTGTCCTGGTTTTCACCAATTTCCCAGGAGCCCCCTGTTCCACACCCTGCAATGATATTTCCTTTGTTTTTGTTTTTGTTTTTGTTTTTCTCCAAAGCAGTCAAATTGCCATTGGAATCCCTGAATCAGTTCTGCTAGGTGGTTTTAGAAGATGTAAATATCTTCTTGTGCAGTTGACACTGTTTTATATTTGATTAGTCCCACAATTTCTTCCCTGCTAAAAAGTATTGTTAATACATATTTATTATTGTTTACTCAATATTTTGTCTACTTTGCATTTTAGTTAATAAAAAAAATCGTTACCAAGCACCAACTTTAGGCATTTGGTTTTTAAATTTCATTTGTAACATTTATCTTTCGGTCCTGTAATTTACTTTCACCTGAACAGTTGTGTTACTTTATTTAAGATGTTTTCTTTAAATACCATCACTTAATAAGAAAAGCATAACCTCTTTCCTTATATTTCTATTCTCCTTCTTTATTGGTGTTTTGACCATCAAATTGGTGTTCAAATCCTTAGTTCCCTTTGTTTCTGTCTCCCTCACATTCAGTGTAAAACTTCCTGTTTCTACATCTTGATCTTTATCATGCCTGGAGGGAACAAATGATTTTAAATGGTTTCTGGGTGTTAAATCTTTTTGGCTCTAGTACTGGGAAGGTGAAGACTAAGGGTCCTAGTGTAGTGTCTGATATAGTGCTGAAGATGAACTTGGTCACATACTGAAAGAAATACTGGAAGAATGGTGTGGCATATTAGACACAATGCAGTTTTTTTATGCATAAGTCAAAGGTTTGAGGTTCTTTATGGGTTACGTTTTGTGATTTTTTTTTTTTTTTTTGTATAGCTAATGCCAGAGTGGGAGAGGTGTGTAACGCTCATGAGCAGGAACTCCGTTTCTTCCATCTCTGTCCCCCCAGCTATCAGAGCAGTCAGGTGTGAATATGACTTGGGCTGGAAAAACTCACCTGCAGAATACCAGCCATGGCCAGGGTGTGCTACGTTAGCAGCTCCTTCTCCCTTGGGTACCCACGACTTAATCTTTATTGTCACAAAAGTTACCTTCGATAGGCTAGATTCCTGATTCTAGAACTCAGATAAGAAAGTAGGAAGTACTTTGTGCTTGTGAAAAGAATTGACTTGCACATGACAGGTGAAGGCCCTGGTAAGTTATTTTATGTAGTCTCATCAGAAGTTCTGAACTTGACTGGAATTAATTCTTGATAATTCAGAAAATTTAATTCCATTCAAAAATCCAATTTGAGTGCCTAGCAAAAGATAGATACTGTATTAAATTCCAGGAGATAGGGGTGCCTAGGTGGTTGAGTTGATGCAACTCTTGAGCTCAGGATAATGAGTTTGAGCCCTGCCACGGGGTACATAGATTATTTAAATAAATAAAACTAAAAAAAAAAAAAACAACAAAAAACAGGAGATAAATGATAAGATAAGGGGGTGCTTATAAGTCACACCTGAGGGGGATTGGTGATGTAAATACACCATGTTGGCACAATGCTTTGATAAAGATGAACTTGGGGAAATTGATAACAGGTACTCTGATGGGTGTCCCATGTCCACCATTTCAGTTAGTGTCACTCGGAAAATAAAGTGATTGACAACCTTGTCTCCAGAGACTTGGAATGAAATTGAGCCACTGATAGCTTTTCCCCAGTTACCCTTTTGAACTTCTCTTCTGGGGCATGAATTGTGACATTAGATTATGAATAGCAGACTGTCAGTTAAGTAAGAATGTTTTAGTTTTAAATAATGCTTTTCAAATAGAAAATTTTGTTTCAAACTTTACTCAAAACAGAAGAGGGGGAAATTACCAAATCTTGTGACAAATAGGAAATATAATAGATATTTAGAAATCATCTGATATTTATATAGTGCCTTTATGCCCTCCTGCGTGGATATGAAAGCTTAGCTCTCCATGGGGTTGGCAAATATAAATAACGTAGGAGCTCACTCATCTTTTTTTTAGTGAAAGAGGGAAAATGTACAGTTCCAAATTTAACATCTTGGGACATATACAGTCCTAGGTATTAAAAAAAAAAGTTTCTCTTTTAGTGTTGTGTCTGTTTTCAAGCAGGGCATAAATTAAGATTATTACTAATATACATTTTTTTTCTAGCATCCACTGCAAATCTAAGGATATATTTTCAGGTGTACTTGGGATTTTTAAAAATATTTATTTGACAGACAGAGATCACAAGTAGGCAGAGAGACAGGCAGAGAGAGAGAGTGGAGGAAGCAGGCTCCTGTGAGCAGAGAGCCCAATGTGGGGCTCGATCCCAGGACCCTGGGATCATGACCTGAGCAGAGGCTTTAACCCACTGAGCCACCCAGGCGCCCCTGTACTTGGGATTTTTAAATGAGTGAAGTACGTGCCATTCACTTACCCAAAACCTACCGGAATGTGCCTATGTGTCTAGTTTTCAAGAATACAGCTGAGAGAGAATAACATCTTGACTGCCAAAATGAAAGAAGTAAGGTTTTGTTCCTGATATTCCTGGAAATATCCATCCACAGAAACTGAAACATGTGCTGAATGTGACTTGACCTGATTCTTACTTAAAACCAGGTCTTGCCTGCAGTGGGAAAGGAGAGCCCCACATTCTCTCAGCTGCAGCTGAAGGTCTAGTTCCTACCCAAAGGGACTTCTTCACAGGGAAGGGAAAATAAGTACCTTCCCCCAGGCCCCGCTCATCTGTCTTCTATCCACTTGCAAGCTGTGTTCTATACCTTTCTTGAAGGCCGGTCATAATATTTCCTTAACTAGTTAGCAAGAACCTGAGAGGTTCTGTTCTACTCAGAGAGAGTTTATTGCTATCCCTTCCCCGCAGAGGTTTTCTGTCTTCTCTAAAATGCCATCAAAGGAGCTGTCCCTTCAGCACCCAAGTTCGGAATCACTTCTTTTAAATCCTTATACATTTAAAAATTTTAACACGTCTTGTGTGTTCACAACTATGCTTCAGACCAGAGGAAAAGAGGAAAGGTAGAAGAGAAAATACAACAGTTAATTCTGTTAAGGAAAATTCGGATATTCAGTTGAGGAAATGAGATGTGTGAATGGAAACTTGTTAAAGAGACAGCTATCTTTTCATCAGTGTAAAAGCTGTTAGAAAAAGTGAATGTTCCTTCCCTCCATGACCAAGGAGACGCCTAACATAATTTACATTATTTCTCCAAGAGGGTTTCTTATCACTCCTTAGTATACACATTGTTTTTTTAATTCATATAGACAAGATAAGAATTAGTAATCAGGATTCATTTTAGAACCCAGATGCACTGAAGCTATTTTAAGCAGAAAGTGATTTAGCACAGGAAATTGGGTGCTTACAGAATTGTTGGAAGGGCAGGGAGAAGGGGCTTTTAGCTGGACCTGTGAGAACGACTCCCAGAACACTGCAGACCTGGCCCACGCAGCAAGCTACTACTTCTCTAATTGGAAACGTACAGAATCAGGAGTTGACGTTGAAGCTGTCGATTTGAAGAACACCCTGTTGTAGTTGCTGTCCAGCTTAGGCAACCACTTGGCCTTGCAGCATTCCTTTCTACATCTGCCCAGAGCTAGTGATTGGACACTGACATGCAGGAAAATCCCACTTCAAAGCCGTGCTTGGCTGGAGAAGCGGCAAGAAGGTGGTATCCATGTCACTTCTGCCTTCCCTATCTTGTGCATCTAATTGGCAGAAGCAGACCTGTAGCAGTCAGAGAGTCTGGGAAATGTAGTTCTTAGCTTTCTGGCCTTTGTACTGCACGATATACTAGAGGATTTTAGAGTGGATTTGATGGTGAGTCTGCAGGACCAGCTGTAACATTTATTTTTTAAGAGGAGTGGCAGATGAGGTAAACGCTTGAACAGTTGGAACTTTGGGGGTCAAGATGGGCTAGACTTTTTGTATTCTTTTGTGCTACTGCCACTTGCATTGTAAAAGACAAATGAATATCAGCCCTAGGCAGGACGGACATAACTCTAATTAAGAAAGAATAGAGTTTTGAGCACCGCCAGCATGTGAGTGGTGGTTGGAGATATTCTGGAGCTGGCTGCGGAAGGAAGAGAACAGCCAGCAGTGGGCACTTCCTCTTCTGGTTTTGCCAAAAGTTCAGAAATATATCTTTGTTTTCTCAGTTTCTTTTTTTTTTTTCTCTTTTTTAGCAAACTGACTATATTCTTTCTGTTTCAGGAGGTCCAGTGCATTTAAAAAAAAAAAAAAAGTTCAGATCTGAGTTTGGTTTATTTCCTACTGAGATAGATTTCCCCCCCTTTTACTCAACTGCCGCTTACCTGCTGAATGTTCAGCAGGGTGAGTACAGTGATGAGTAAAGCAGGCAGAGTCTACCCTTGGGGATCGCGCAATCTCGCAGGACGGCAGGCACTGAACAGGTTATTAAACCTTGTTGGGTCTTGCCAAACAGACTGTTGTGGACGTGTTTGATGGGGGCCTGACCTCATTTAGGCGGGGGTTAGGAAAAGTTCCTCTAGGAGATTTTGTTTCAGCTGAGACCTGAGGGTTGAGTATGAGTCAGCCAGGTAAAGACAAAGAGACTGAGGACATCGATGGAGCACAGGGTTTTCATGAGAGAAACATAACATAGCACTTTACTCCTATAGCAATGCCTTATCTAGCCCGAGTTTTGTAATCACTGGTGGCCATTGTGATCTGGCCATGGATCCCTTTCCAAATGGTGCTGAAGATGTAATCAGGTTCGTCCTCTTAGGTTCATCCTCTGCATTGGAAAGGAGATGAGTGGTTGGGTGTGGTACTTGGGGACATCAGGGATGGAGCTGTGACGCAGGTGACTTCTGCAGTGAGATGTCCCCTGGGAGGCTCCTCTCTGCACATCTTAGTCACCACCTCCTGGTAAACCACGTTTGGAAAATATCCTCCCAATTTATTTCCCACCCTCCGTCATTCCTGCTGCTCGTGTTTGCACCCTGTGCCTGCATGTCTGCCTTACTTCAGTGGCTCCTTAGTGGTTCCTCTTGCAGAAGGCTCCCTGGCCTCCAGGTTCGATGCCCCATGGCTGCCAGAATTAATGTCCTCTCTAAGTCACAGTCTACTAGCACTCCCCTACTTAAAAATGCATGAGTTCTGGGGCGCCTGGGTGGCTCATTGGGTTAAGCCTCTGCCTTCGGCTCAGGTCATGATCTCAGGGTCCTGGGATCGAGACCCACATTGGGCTCCCTGCTCAGCAGGGAGCCTGCTTCCTTCCCCCTCTCTCTCCCTGCCTGCTGCTCTGCCTACTTGTGATCTCTCTATCTTTCTCTCTGTCAAATAAATAAATAAAATCTTTAAAAAAAATGCATGAGTCCTATCATTCACAGTGTGAAGTTTAAGCCACTCAGAATGACTCTAAACCATTTCACAACCTAGCTGACCCCAACAAGACCTTGAGCCTCATCTCCTATCCTGGCACATATAACCCAACCACACTGCACTCCTTGAAGTTCTTAATATGCGATATATTCTCATACCTCTTGTTCTTGCTCATGACCTTCCCTTTGCCTGGATTGTCCTTCTCCATCCTGATCTTTGCTGCCTGATGAGATCCCTCCCACTCATTTTTTTTTTTTAAGATTTTATTTTTAAGTAATCTCTACACCCAACATGGAGCTGAAACTCACAACCCCGAAATCCAAAGTTGCACGCTCTACCAACGAGCCAGCCAGGCACCCTCCCTCCCACTCATTCTTTAGGACACATTCCCTGTGTTGCCTTCCCTGAGAATCCCTTCCCACTCACCCTCTTAATCCTGTCCTGCAGTGGGAGTTGGTGGTTTCCTAATCTGATCATACGGCTATGAAGGCTCTTTTCACACTGTGGTTTGGTTGTTGTGTGTCTGGCTTGTCACTGGACTGTATGCTTCTCACCATCGAGTACACAGAAAAATGAAGAAGTCTCCCAAAAATGATCTCCCTCTATGTTACCTTGTATTAAAATGGTTTGTCGTAGTATGGCATTCCGCATGACATTCCAAGTCGAAATTACCACATGAATAGTTATTGAATGCCCACTATGTGCTCGTCGTCAAGATTAATGTAACAGAAAGTAGGTTAGCCACACTTCTTGCCTTGAAGGAGCTTACCTTATAGAGGGGAGACAAAAAAGCCAAGGGAGTATAACTTGCTATGTTTACCCGTAGGTAAATGGATGATTCCGTGGTGTTTTCAGAATGTTTTTGACTTCTTTTTTTCTTCTCTTTCTCAGTGTTAGAGATTGATTTTGCGGAGCTAACCCTGGAAGAGATTATTGGCATCGGGGGCTTTGGGAAGGTCTATCGTGCTTTCTGGATAGGGGATGAGGTTGCCGTGAAAGCAGCTCGCCATGACCCCGATGAGGACATCAGCCAGACTATAGAGAATGTTCGCCAGGAGGCCAAGCTCTTCGCCATGCTGAAGCATCCCAACATCATTGCCCTTAGGGGGGTGTGTCTGAAGGAACCCAACCTCTGCTTGGTCATGGAGTTTGCCCGTGGAGGGCCTTTGAATAGAGTGTTATCTGGGAAAAGGATTCCCCCAGACATCCTGGTGAACTGGGCTGTGCAGATTGCCAGAGGGATGAACTACTTACATGATGAGGCAATTGTCCCCATCATCCACCGCGACCTTAAGTCCAGTAACAGTGAGTATGAAGTGATGGGACTGGAGGGCTCACGAGTACTTCTCTACTCAGTCAGTGGCTTCGGTGGGAGTGGATTCCGAAGGAATCTCAGTGGGCAGTGAAACAGGGAAACTCCTTACGTAAAACCATTCCATCCTTGAGTTGAGATGTAGGGATGAAGTGAATGCCAGGGAAAATTGGTTTAGGAAGAGAAGAATGAGGCAGCCGAGGGGTTTGGAAAAATCCTAAGCTCATATTAGCAGGCAGGGGTGGCAGTGTGTAATTCTGATGTGCTGTGCAGTGTGTATCCACACATGTGTAGATAGATAGATATGTAGATTTTTCCACTTTAGGGAAGCATGCCTGGCATTACAAAAGGGCTTTCCGTCTTTGGTGGAACACCAGGTAACTACAACGCCTCTTTGCATTCTGCCTGACCACCCCAGCTTGAGGTACCCCCAGAGAATGGTCTATAAGGAAGAAAGGGGCGTGTCGTCTAAGCTGTGGGGCCGATTCAGGTGACAAAGTCCCCTGGGAGAGTATGACCCGGCTGGTAGTATTGTGGACTCCTGATAGCCCACGGGTCTTATTAATTAATTGTTGTAACTACTTAGTTTTTAATAGCAGGGAACTGAGAAGTAACTGTTTATTAAACATCCAAGATCCATAAACTGGATTGTAAAGCAAGTGTTAGACATAATTACATGGTGAGTTGGTGGAAACCAGTCTCTTTCCTTGGAGGAATCTGCAGGCGCTGGGACTCTGCTGCTTTTGTGTCGTAATTTGTGCCCTCTGTTGCCTGAACGGAGTGATCGAAAGGATGACATTTGTTAAATAGGAAATGCTTAAAATCGTTTCAAGCACCCTATCTGGAGAGGAGGGCATTAGGGTTGGGGGAGGTGGTGTGGGTCCCGGAACTTCACTGTCTGTCTCCTTCCACGTTGAGCCCAGAATTCCTTCAGACTTTATTTTGTTCTGAGCAGTTCCAGATGTGGTTTATTTTCTGTTGATGCTACTATGAACGTTTACTTTTAAAAATACATTGTTGTTGTTGTTTTGCTGTTGGTTTTTTCTTGGACAGTTATAATTATTTTTATTTGATCATTCCTTAAGATTTTATATTTTTATTATTAACATATAATGTAGTGTTTGTTTCAGGGGAAAAATACATTTTAAAATTATTTAAGTAGATGTTTGTACAAAAATTGGGCAGTGTAGATAAAAAAGAGAAGGGTAACCAGTAATGTTTTCCTTCAGGGAGTATAACTATTACATTTGGCATATCCTCCCATGTGTTCTGTGTGCGTGACTTAAAAAATCGTTTTGGAAATGTTATGCTCGTTTTTACCCACCAGTTGGAGAGTCACAACTTCACTGTGTTTTGCAGACCTGGGGATGCTGGCCTGTTTCCCTTGGGTTTTTTTGTTTGTTTGTTCAAGATTTTATTTATTTGAGAGAGAGAGAGAGAGAGAGCAAGTGGGCCATGTGGGGAGGAGAGAAAGAAGACGACTCCCCAACGAGTAGAGAGTGCGATGTGAGGCTTGATTCCAGGATCCTGGGATTACGACCTGAGCCGAAGGCAGACGCCCAACTGACTGAGCCACCCAGGCGCCCCCCTCTTGGTTTTTATTAGGGTTCTGGCGAGTTGGATTTGGTCACTGTCATGTGAGGACAGATTTCTAGGAATCATATGTGTTCACTGATTTAGATCCACTAGCGAAAAGAGTACGTATATAGGCGGGTTGTCTTTGTGGAAAAAAGAAAGTAGTTGGTGATAAACATCTAACTGTTACAAAAGGCTCCGTGGCAAGGTGACTAAAGTGCTCTACTGGGGCGCCTGGGTGGCTCAGTGGTTAAAGCCTCTGCCTTCGGCTCAGGTCATGATCTCAGGGTCCTGGGATCGAGTCCCGCATCGGGCTCTCTGCTCAGCAGGGAGCCTGCCTCCTCCTCCTCCTCTCTCTCTCTGCCTGCCTCTCTGCCTACTTGTGATCTGTCAAATAAATTAAAAAAAATTCTTTAAAAAAAAAAAATAAAAAAAAAAAATAAAGTGCTCTACTATCCTGGTCATCTGCTTTAAAAAGTCACGTGCTGTCACCGGCAGTGGAACACATACAGCATCCTGTGTTGACATACAATTCTCAGTAAGGTCAGATTTGACTGCACATAACCTAAAAACCAAAATAATAGTGGCTAAAACAAGGTTTACATTCATTTGTCTTTGAAAAGTAGTCTGCAGGGCTTCGGACATCCCAGGGTCATCAGGGATGTGGGCTCCTCTTTTTCAGTCCAGTCCCAGTGCGTGGCTCGCGCCCTCAGGCTTGCCTTGTGGTCTTCAATGGCAGTGGAAATGCCAGTTATTTGGTCCAAGTAACAGGCCTGAAGGAAGAGGAAAAGCAGAAGCACAGAAAAAGGTGTTCCTAGAGCCGAGTTGGCTCCTGTCGTCCTCCCAAAAGTCCACCAAAACCGCATCTGCTTGCAGTCATTGGCCAGAATGTAATCATAGAGCCGAGGCTGGCGCAGGGGAGGCTGGGAGGTGCAGGACTCTAATCTGGGTGGCCGTGAGCCCAGCTGATCATCAGGGGCTATTACCGAGGAAGAGGAAGAGCAGGGCTGGTGGGGGCAGCAGCTGGCGGTCTTCCCACGGGATCTTCATGTGGGACGTGCTTTGGGAAGAACTGTTTATTTCAGATGTTTAGCATCATATGGCCATGCAAGGTTAGCCAGGCCTTGGGGCATGTGGCTCAGACCCCTGATTTAACTAATGGCTCCTACTCCTTTGCCCCATTGCATCATTAGCCCAAACATCACTTCTTAAAACTACTTGCAGAAAGCCCTGGCTTGAATGATGGATTAGTGTCTCTGCTCTGTTAACTGGGAAAAGCCAGCTACTTGATTGTTAGCAAAGGTGTCCACAAAAGATGGTCTTAGGGGAAACATTGTCCTTTTGGGGCTTAGGTAGATGGATTTCAGGATTTTGGCTTAAAGGCATTTGGCAGAATAACAGTTCAGTCGCAGTCATTAGAAGTTAAATTAGTGTAAAAACAAGGTCATATGAAAAAGCTTTGGAAAACGAAAAGCCGTGCCCAAAGTGGAGGTTGTGTTATTACTTTTATTATTGAATAACTTCTTTCCTCCTCTTAGAGAACATAGAAAAACAGAGAGGTAAAAGCAGTGTGTTTCTCCAGTTTTTGTGTTTATGGATACTTGTTTTGACCCAGAATCGTGCACGGGAAGTCCTAGTAACTGTGCTGCTTGTAGTGTGCCTTCGTGCTCCCCAGACCCATCCACATATTGTGACTTGTTATGTAAATAAATAGTCTTCGACCGCAAGATATTTAAAGGTCGCACAGATTCCACTGCTTAGATATACTCTGTTAACGAAACCAAACCCCTATATGACAATAATAATAATAATAATAGTAATAATAATAATACAACTGATTCTTATGAAGTGCTCTCTTTATGTTAGGCACGAAGCATTTCACAGCCCTTCTCTTCTCATTCCCGTAGCAGCCCTGCCAAGTAAACACTATGAGTGTGTTTATTTTACAAAGGAGGAAACTGAGGCTCAGAAGGGGTCACCCATTTCTCCAAAGTCTCCCCGCCAGTCCTGAGGGCGGACTTCGCGGCCCGGTCTGACCCCTCCGCCTGTGCTCCCAGTCACCAAGCCATTGGTGACACCCTGCTGCTGGGTGGCTGGGGCGTTTCACGGCATTATTTCCCGTGGCCCGTAGCACTTTGGTTTTATAGGATTGTGAATAGCATTATCCCGCTCACAGAGCCCCAGTATCCACACTTCCTTAAGGTCTGATAGACTCACTCTTATTTCATAGCTGCAGTGCAGAGGTGAGTGGGGAGCTACACGTGGTTGGGACTCGCCACACCTGCCCTCTTTGGTGTGGGCGTCAGTTGAAACTAACATGAGGTCTTTGCTGCCTTGTCTCCCTCTTCCTCTAAAGGCACTGCCCCCGCATACCAGCCTGGTTTCCTCTTTCCTCTGGAATACCCTCTGTGCCTCCCAGCCACGAGGCCCTCAGCACTGTCCCCCTCTCCGCACGAATAATCTGGCTTTCAGGGGTGCTCTTGCCTTGGCCCCCCACCTGTCCAAACCCTACCCACGTTCCCGTGCTCGGCACAAACCCGGCAGTTCCCCTCCGACAGCCTGGCACCGTGGTCAGTGCTGAGCGGTCATCTGGGGCTGGGCACACGCTGCCTGAGAGCATGTAGGAGAACAGTCGGGTGACAGTGGACTAGAGCCGCTTGGCCAGGGGTCGCAAGCACAGATGTCTTCTGGGGTCAGGGTCGGTGTGTTTGTGAAGCTGCTGGGGGGAAGCTGTAGGGCTTGGGAGGAGTGATGGGGAAGCGAGTGTGCGCTCCGTCGGGCGCGGGCCGTGGAAAGATGGAACAAAGCACGCTGGCCTGCCGCAGCCTGCCAGCCGCACCCCCCTGGCCTCCTCTTGTTGGCTGGGATTTTGGGAGCATCCCTGAGGCCTCCGAATAGATTCTGTGTCGTTAGCTTCCAGGGACATGAGTGAATGGGCGAATGAGCCAACACAGGATCCCTTGAACTGGTCTGCTCAGGGGATCGCCAAGTGTGAAGCCTCCCCTTTTCTTGTCGGAGGATGTCCTGTGTCCTGCGGGACTTTTGAGCATGTGCCTTTTCATCCTCTATAACCTCCAAACCCTTGTCCCCGTCCTAATGTCCGAGTTTGCCAACGTTTCGGGTGCCGAGGCTGGTATTTTCACAGTGTATTTGTTACCAACCTCCAAGGCCTCTGCCCTCTTTTTTCTCTGCACCCTTCCTGGATGCCGGCCCCAAATAACTCCCTGGCAGTGTGTCCCCTGCAGCCAGCCAGAGGGCTGCCAGGTGCTGTGGGAGCAGCCCCCCCTGGCCCTGCAGCCTGCGTCCGCTGCCGTCATTCCATCCAGCCTCGGTGTCCCCGTGTTCCCTCCTTGTGAGTTCCGTGCTGCGGCCCTCAGTCTCCCTTCGTGGGCTTGTTTGATTGGCGGCTCCTCTTGGC